CCCTTCTATCTCTTGAATATGGAGCTAAGGGCTCGCTAAGAAATACTATTTGATCTCTTGAGTTTAGAAAGAAATTCTGCTTTTATTTGGACAGGTTCTACTTGCATATTTCTTCCCCGAATTGCTTATTAATAGATACAGTAAAACTACCCACCTAAGAGGTAACTCCTAACAACTGAAGAAACTAACTCGACATCTATGGAAAAAGGAAGCTGCAAGAAATAAGGAAAGTAAATTGAAATGAAACTGGCTAAACATGTCCAGGAAATTAATTAGGAACTGTCTGCACATCTGCAGCAAACTAATCAGTCTTTCTCTTGCTTTCATGTGTAAAACTCTAATAAATTAGCCACTAAAGATAGATATTCTCAGCAGCTGAGTCTCCTTATTTGTTTGACCATTATTGGTTCATAACATCAACCAAGCGTCATTGCAGTTTATAGAAGCGATGCAAAAGAGACAGAAATAAGGGAGAGGATGAGGGGAGAAAATGTTAGAATGAGATAAAACCTGATCTTTTGGTGTATCTGGAAGAACAGTTTTCCTTTCTTGTAATAAAATGAAGAAGGTGGAGAGAAACAATTTGTATTTCTGTAGTTCAATCTCCTTCATAAATATCTAGTCATTGTTTTATGCGTAGTTACTCTCAATTAATATATAAAGGAATTTACAATTACATTACTAACACATTGCAAAGACTGCTTATCAATCAACCAGAGTTCACTGTCTTTGATATAGAGTGCCTTATAGCCTGTCTTTTTCAAATGAGCCATTCCTTGTGTTTTATAACTGAATTCGTTCTTTTTATACTGGAAAATTTTCCGAATCTGTTGGAACAGGTATTCTTTCACCGAAACTCATCCTTGAAATTTCCTCCTATCCGATGTGCAAAAGGTTCAAGACCGAGTTATTGCTTGGCTTGTTTATTCTCACTTGTAGAGCAGGTAAGAAAGCTTTCTAACCTTGCATATGCCACTTTATATGATTAGGAGCTTAAGATAGTCCTTTTCTTTACTTGCTTCAAATCTATATTTGGTTAATTTTTAAACTCTTTATTCATTAGTGTTTTTTTTTAATTTATTTTAAAGGCACGATATCTACAATTCCGTAAATGGCCTGTTGAATGGGGTTGGTGCCGAGATCTCAAATCATTTATATTTGTCTTTGAAAGACATAAAAGGTAGTGACTCTGCAAGTGGAAAATGCCATTTGCCTTTGTTTTTAATGTAAATGTTTGGAAGGGAGTAATATTTTTATTTTCTTTTGAATGCAGAATAGTGCTTGAACGTCCTGAATATGGTTATGCAACATACTTCTTCGAGCTGGTTTATTCTTCACCAATTGAATGGCAGATTAAGCGGTTGGTGACATCCATGAAACTCACTAGTTGCGGCAGAATCACGCTACTTGAGAACAAACCTTTATTGGTATAACTTCTCACAACCTCAATAAAATATTTTGGTCGAAATAGTCGATAAAAATTGCTGGAAATTGTTGATTGCTCTTTTTATTACTCGAGTTGGCTCTGAGGAACGCTCTGGCTGGGACCTGGGGTGCTTTATCTGCACTTAGAGAAAATCATAAAAAAAATTAGAAAAAAGCAAAGTTTTCATAAATTTATTTCATTCTTGTGCTAGTCATTTTTACAATTTTTTAAGCTGGTTTTTAAGTCTGTTGATAATGGTGGCTCTGATTGTTCCAATATACCTTTGTCTTCTGATTTTCTTTGTATGGTATACATATTGCATACAAGCTTACAAGTCTTCTTTTTTGGAGAAAAAAAAGAAAAATAATTATTCATTTCATAGTTTTTTTTTTTAAATACTTTTTATTCATTTCATAGTAATTATGTTCATATGGTTTCATCCCTTGTCCATTTTATGTGTCTTATATGTGTTTGTGTTCTATTCTATTTCAGTTATTTCTTTCCACTTTTTAACTGACATTTATCTTAATAAATTTTTTATCAAGAAGAGTTTCTGCGAAGCATGTCTTTTTATTCATTAAAATTCGTTTGATCATTCTTTATCAAAGGAGTGGATACAATCTATTATTTTGCATGCAGGGTATTTAGCCAGCAGCTTTTGTAGTGAACCTGATTATTACTAGTTAGTGTTTTGCTTGTTTGTTGTTTCCTCTTCAGGTTTACTTGATGATATGCTAATAACTAGTCAGAGCATCAAATGCTTAGTGGTTACTGAAGTGATCTGAGTTAGAAATGAGGTTTTCATTAACATTCATGAACAACTCTTTGAAGTTGAAAGATAACTTACTAACCCTTAAGCCAATGCTTGTTGAGTCAACTAGCTTGGCTAGTGACTACATGTAATTAGCTGCGGTTAAATAAAAAAAGAGTTCTCCTAAAATTAAGAGGATAAATGGTTTTTTCGGGGGTGGTTAGGGGGATGGGGTTGTTGGGGCCAGCCACCCTAAGGAAGTTTCCATGTTTTTCTAGCTTAGATAAAATGTGCTTGGCGAGTTTTATTCATTGTAAAAGCCGCTAACAGGTCCCTTGCAAATTGTAATGACATAGTTGTTCATTCTCATTGATATCTTCTTGCAAATGTTGAGATAGTTGGATTATGCGTTTGCCGAATTGCTCTTGGCTAGCAAAAAAAAATGCTAGGTTAACAATCAGTTATTTTGATGATAGAGTAGTATGTCCAGACATAGTTCTAGTTTGATTGGAAAGCTGTGTGTTGTCGCAAGTCCATAATGATGTTCACTTGCCTGCATAAATGCATTCCGAGTTTTGTGATTTCATTTCTGGTTCCTTGGTTTGTGCCAACATTTCCTTTATGTCCATGTTTCTCTACAGTTTTGTTGTTTGGTTCTAGACATATGTTTGTCTATTTTATATATAATTTCCAGCAGAATAGTGTCTGCAAATCCAACTACATCCAATATCTTGAAAATTTGTAGACTGGTGTCCATTTTTTATGGAATGAACCTGTGACATAAAAAATGTACTGCCTTTTTCATGTCACAAGTCTTACTGCATTTTTGAAGTTCGGGGAACTTCTGCTTTCATTTGGGAAGACAGTTACCAGAAATTTGTTTTCTGAAAACTGACATGCATGAGCAAAGTTTTATGACTATTATGGTTTACCATCAGTGAGAAAGTTGGAACTGAAAGCATTTCTTACCCGTGCTGTTTTTTTCTTTACTTTGATTTGAAGATTACTTAGATTGTATCTTCTTTTTTTTTTCTTTTTTGAAATAAACTTAGATTGTATCCTCTTTATAAATTACTGCTGCTGCTGTTGCCTCTTCAAGAGAATGGCACTTGCTTATTTCTGGCATTTTATGGCGTTTTTTGCTTAAGGTTGGAGAACATTTGACTGAAGGTGAGGCGAAAGTATTAATGGAATATGGTTGGATACCAAATACTGGCTTGGGAACAATGCTCAACTACTGTGACAGGGTTGTGCATGATAGAAAGCATGAGAAAGATACCTCAGAATGGAAATCAAAAATAGAAAAGGTACTGATTGATGGTTTTAATGGTGGAAGTATTGTTTCAACCACCTTAGTAGATCCCGTTACTAAGTATGAGGAGACAGAGAACCCACAGATTAAGTTGGAGCCTGAGTAGGTATCAGCTTGGTACATAGTTTTGTAAATATTTTGCACAGATCAATAAGCTTAACAGCAGGCAGATATGAAGTCCATCCTGTTCATTGCTTTCATGTAACAAAGTTCTTGGTAGATCTGATAATTTGAACTTCCATATTGTTTGCTTTACCCAGTTGGTGGTAAAGGTGATGTATAAAAAACGTCTAAAAATCAATTTGTGCAAACTATTGTTTAACTGTGTTTTCCCATCTAGCTGGTTATTAAGAGAGGTATCTGACACCATGGTGTCCCAGGTACCTTACTGGTATATATTTATTGTTGAATGCAGTTATTTATTAAGTCTGTGGCACCATTTTATTTAGACATGTAACAGTAAGTTCCTAAATTGTCATGCCTATGAACCCGAAGTAGGCAAAGGCTTTAGAAATGTTGACCCTTTCACCAACTCTTGAATGAAAATCTGGTTAAAGGCATCTGTATAATGAAGACCATCCCAGCTTATATATTTCCCTGGGTTGGTGCAAGCTTTTGCTGTGGACGTATCTCCACAAAATTTCTTTAGATCAAAGTTGTAAGTGCCACCATTCCCGCAACAGGCTTTCAATTTTATCTTCACGGATGAAACCTATGAAATATGGTATTGCAGATTATCAGTATTTCAGAGTTTAGAAGGTAAGCTTTTCACATAGTTTTCAAGTGAAAAGTTGTATTACCATATTGTTCTGGGTTTGCAATTGCGCCTAGTGCAAAGCTGTAGAGATCTGCTATTTGTATGCTGATGCTTTTGTACTGGGATGTTACAGATTGAAGGGACTTCTCCAGCTCCTGGTTTGCAAAGTTGACAACATCATTGGTATCTTTCAAACAGCCCAATTCGTTTCTTGAACCTTGTGAGTCGACGGTTAGAGCAAGAGGGGTGCATCCTAGAGGCATGATGCTGAAGACCATAAAATTATTTCCGCCTTGTTTGTGAAGATCCTGCCACCCAGGTAAGTACATCTCACGGCTTTTAAGATTAAATATCTAATATCTGCTTCTAGCAAACCTTTTGTTCAACTCAATGCTTTAACTGTTCTTATATCATGCTTAAGAAAGAGTTTGTGGTATTTTTTTTTACCTGGAGTTAATGTCATATTCTCTGTTTACTATTGAATTCAGTAAACTTAATGATAGGAAAAGAGTATGAATTAGATGACCAATATACAAGTATGAATTAATAAGTGAATGGAAACATGCCCAAATATATCATGCATGGCAAACAATTTCACTGTAATAAATTGATTGTAACGAGAATCAATATTTCCTTGAAGAAGCATATGTGACATGTATTACTGAAGCAGTATGTACTCACAACAATTGCTTTAGTGATTGTGGCCATCATCTCTGGAACTATCTTTGTTTTGACATCAGAAGGAGTAAGCCCATTTGAATATAGACCAAATAGGATGTCATTCATACCGGTGAAGATCACATAAGTTCCATCTCTAAATGCACTTGGTGATGGGACACGAGGAACAACACATTCTGCACCATAAAACACATACCGAAAATGTCAAGAAACATATCTATGATAGTACTCACTTGGCTAGTGAAAATCAGTGATAGATGAACAGAGGATATTGTGTATCTAACTGGGATCCTTTGTAGATTTCAGAGAAGCCAAAACAGTTTGTTTGAACTGAATAAACTGGTTGATCTGTAAGGAGAGATGGAAAGGAACGCTAATGGTATCGTTCCTGGCAGTTGAACCCACAAAGGCAAAAATGATTCCTTGATGGTAGTTAGAATCAACATTCTTAAACAGTGGCTCAAGAAATGGCAATCCCCATTCTAAAGCTGTAAGATAAAGAAACATAAGATGTCATTTTTTTTCTCCAATTTCCAAATCCATGTACTTAATAGACTTAAAAGTGATTATACTATAAACCATATTGATTACCAAGGAAATCAACAATAATTCGGCCATCGGACCATCGTCCAGTTGGAGTGTTGAAGAATGTTGAGCCATATGGGAAGCCTTGAGACTCATACTGGAAAGGGAAGGATGATATAGTATTGCCATTGTCACTCAGTGAGTCACAGAAAACAAATATGGCAGGTGTTGTAGGTTCTGAAACACGTGAATTTAAGCTTCCTAGGGAGAAAAGGAGCAGGGAGAATAGACTGATAGACAGACGAAGTGGTAAACTTGCCATCTTCAGATAATGTTCAGAAAGTACACCGTATATACATATATACACCCCTCATACACCATTATATGTTTGGTGGGTAGCGTTTAAATCCTCTGTAGGAAACACATGTGCTTCATTGTTCAAATCAACCTAAATTGTCTTACGTATGCATCAGTTTTCTAGAGTTACATATGGACGATCACAACGAGTGGCAGGAGGAATTAAAATATTTTTGATGGATTTGGATTTTTCATGTGTTTAATTTGAAGGGGTAGACGAGAGTTTTGATTTCAACGCAGAGATAGAGATAGAACAAGACTACCAACACACATGATCGATTTGAATTCTCGTTCAATTCATGGTTTTAATTTTCATATATTCTTGACATGCATAATTACAACATTATTAATTTGTTACTTCTTTTTTAGAAATATTGTTTGTTATTTTTGAGTATATAAACTGAACTCAATTTAAAAAACGTATTGTCTTTTAACCTTTCATAACTTTGAATTGGGGTTCTATTTAGTTATTTCAATTTCTTTTGGGGTCAAATTCAAAGTTTTAATATAAAGAATTATGATTTACATGCATAATTACAACATAATTTCAGATCTTTGAATTACACTCTACTAACTCCTTGGGATCGGAAATTCAATTTAAGTAGACTTACACACTACTAACAACTTCATTTATTAATTTCGATTTCATTAGTGGTAGAATACATGTACTACAGAAACATAATTAGTCTTTTTTATGTATTTCAAAGTCATTTCCATTGATCTATATTTTAAATGTTACCTTAATTTCTATATTTCAAAGCTAATAACAAAACTTGAACACTTATCTAGGCGAAATTTAGTCATGAATGATCCTAAACATGACAAGAAATATATGTATGTGTATATATATATATGTAGAAATGTTACTCTATGAAGAAAAAAGGGAAAAAGCTCTCAAACTCCCTAGTATTTACACATGCTTGTACTTATGCACACACCTCTCTTCTCCACAAAACCATCTCACTCAGACGACTCCACTACCAACCCTGATATAATCTCACTGGTTTCTTCCAGTCTCCGCCGGCGGCATGAAGTGATCCCTATTCAACCCCCATATATTAAAATCCACCTCCTCAATCTTCCACCTCTCTTCAATATTCCTCTTATGGTTCGCCGACTGCTCCCCGTACCGGAAAACCGTAACTCTGGTCTTCCCTCCATGAGCTATATTCACATTATCCACGTACTTGTAATCGTCCATCACGGATTCCGTACTCGTCTCCCAAAACACGTCGTCGTCATCCTTGGTTCGCATCCTCAGCAATCTCGAGTCCTCGAACTGAATCAGCAGGCCAGATCTCTGGCTAAAGTATCCCCATATTGTATGGTGTATGATCTCGTAGTTTGGTCCACTCTGTGCTTCACGAATGGCGGGACTCGTCTCGAGCTTGAGGATAAAACAGTCTTCCCCACTTATTATTTTCTCTCCTATACAGGTTGCGTCGAGGAAGAGATTCGCTGTGGATCTTGGGTCTAATCCCTGCAACATTATGAATATATCATTGCTTTAGCTTATCCCCTGTAAATTTATAACTGAAACAGAGCTTGTTGCAGACCTGTAAAAATCGACGTAAGGGTCTTGGAGGACCCTTGGAGATGGGTGTTTGTTGGTTAGAAGAATGGCGCCATGAGAGTTTTCCATTGCTTCCGCAGATTACTTTGCACCCGGATATTACAAGTTCTAAACACCATAGATCTGGATCTTTCTGCCATAACACGAATCCACCCATTTCCTCCGAACTCTTCACGTTGGAACTCTCGTCGCTTTGATGAAACTCCGATGCCGTGATCTTCACCTGACCAGTCACGCACATGCTATGCACTGCGTTCAACGCCGGCTGTCCTCCCGTCGCGGCTATATACTGTTGTACTATATATTTGGCTGTTGAAGCTTGCTGTAAAGTAAACGTGATCGGATATAAGATTATAATAGATGAGAAAAGTTTGAAGGGGAAGAAATAATGATAATTACAATGGAGCAATCTTTAACGGGTTTGTGGAGGGAATGGCCGACTTGGACTTGGAGAGGAATGAGAGGAGATCCGACGAGGTAGAGAAGGAATCGGAGCTCGTTAATCCGTCCGGCGATGATGGGTTGTGACCATTTATCAGAAGTCTGAGCTTTCATCCATGTTAACATGTTTTGCCATCGTACTGCGAGGCTGTTACCCATGTTGCTGAACATTTCTTCGGGAATGGGGACCTCCAGGATTGTCTCCAGACCATCTTCTCGATCAAAATTTGGACAGAGTTTTCTCATGTAGATGGGTTTTTGAGTTTGAGAGCGAGAGGTTGAAGAACCCAGAATCAAAAAGGAAGGGAGAGAGAAAAAAAAAAAAAAAAAAGAAATTTTGGTTTAAACAGACAATAATTTTTCTTTTGTTTGTTTATTTTGTTTTTATTTTTAGTATTTTTTGTCGTGTGTTTGCAGTTTTTTTTATGCGAAGAAGAGTAAGAATGGGAGACTGGTTAAATGGCTGTCCTCGCTTGTAGGAGTCGTGTGGGCATGATTTACGGCTGCTTGTCTTTCCTTTTCTTCTTCTTCTTCTTCCTTTTTTTTTTTTTAAATATATTTGCTTGAATAAAATCAAATTTACTGTTCACCGCCACCTCGATACAAGCTCCATCAATGGAGGAATATCAGAGCTGCAAGACCCATGTGGTGGAATTGAGCCGAAAAGTAGAGATGTATAAGTAGTGGGTAGTCAAAATGGTGATCTCGTGAAGCTTCGTCCGCCATTGTTGTAAGTTTTATGCAGTGGATTGGTGTTGCCGAGTTTTATTTTATGTAATCTCTGAAACTTCGGAGGCCTGCAATTTCTGATGTACGTAAAACAAGAGCTAAAGAATTTGATGAGCCTCTCCATTTTGATTTATAAATGCAATCATATCAAGAAAATTTAATCTCCAATTCATATTAGTTTTCGGTCTGCCATAATTTTTTGTCGAAATTTTAAGGATACGATGACTCAAATTTTTAAAATTTTAAACAAATAAATTATAAATAATAAGAAAAAAAAATTGCCACAATTAACTTAAAATTAATATTAAAACATACAAATAATTCAAATAAAACATCGCACGACAAAAAACTTCATGCAATGAAATTTTAAACACACTTCACATCTTAAAATGTACTAGTAAATTATTATTATTTTTTCAACAATCCATTGATAATACATAAATATAATATTAAGTATATCAATAATCAAAACTTAATATATACAGCTCATATATACAAATCTAATTTAAAAAATTCGAAAAAAATCCATATGCAAAAATTATATATATATATATGCATGAAATTGATATAATTATCTAGGAGTCATTTTTTACATATGTATAAGTTCCTATTGGAGCCCATATTATTTTACCTTCAAAAGTTTTCAACTCATAAATCTTTCTAGTTTTTTGATAGAACGCTTTATTCTTTAAGTAAAAACCCACAATATACACACACTCTATACATATATATATATATATATATAGCAAGTAAAAGAATTATATTATATCACAACAATATGACAATTCAATATTAAAATTTTTGACATTGAATATTCAAAGCAAGAATTTACATAAACTTTTAATACAACAAATTGCGATGAAGTAGGCCAGGGATCATAACTTAGATGGGCTTGGCCCAAACCGAAAAGCCCATTTCCAAATTCATGGATCTCAACAATTGGGCTCGTAAGTCATACACAAAGTTTATATATAGGCTGCATTTACATATACCCACTAATTCATACTATTAAAACAAAACATTTGCTGATATAATTTTTGATCAAAATTTTTTCTTTTGAAGAAGAATTAAAAATATGTATAGAAAATTATTATATAAATAATCAATTAAAATATTTTTCTATAATGAAGAGGATTAAATTTTAATTTTCAAATATAGTAAACCCAATTTAATTAATGATATATTCTTGAATCAACTTTCCTATACTAAAACTAAGTTTTTCCCAAGATAATCTTTAAACTAATATTTACCCATTACATATATATATATGTAATAGTTTGAGCTTTTGCAAGTTACAACATGGGCAAATATAAATTGAAGCCCATATCTATATACATATATAGCTAAAGTTTTATTCTTGCTCACTATGTTTGATGTAGAATGAATTGAAGGGTCGAAGTTTCTGGAACAAATTAAAATTTGGAAAGTAAATAAAATTGAGGGTTAGAACGTGCCAAATGTACACGATCCCATAATTATATCTTTCAAAAGTACACATCATAAGATCCACCCAAATCCAGTTAAAAGCTTCCAACAAATACTATAAAACACATACATTCTTGATGGCAATGTCTCTTTTTTAATTATAAAAAATTCTTTGACATTGATGACGTTATGGGTGACATCCTCAATTGGTGTGTGTGTGTGTGTATATATATGTATATGTATATGTATATGTATGTTATATATTGATACAACTTTGCTTAATTTGGAATGATAAGCATTAAGCCAAGTAACTTGGTTTCTTGGTAGTGTATAATTCTAATAATTTAAATATTTCTTTAAAATTGTATTTTTAATAGTAATTTAATGGAATTAGTGTCTTAATAAAAATAAACCCAGATAATTAAGTTAAAAAATATAATTATTTTCCCTACTAAATTAACTATTATTGTTTATTGATTAATTAAATCTATATTATCCTTGATTATGTAATAAACAAAAAGCAAGCCTTTGAAAAATTTAGGGCACCACCATAATTAACGATAATATAAAATATAATATACATATATATATGCGTTAGATAACCCATAACTCATTTTTAACAAAAACAAAGAAGAACCAGCCAAAGGTTTATCATTATGTTTTGTATTAATCATAATATTTTTTAATCCTATTATATATACATATATATATATATATGTAATTAAAGTATTTAAAAAGGTAATTAATTAGCTGCCGCCAAACATAATTGAGTATATTTAAAGGGAATAACAAGATCAGAAGAAAAGACAAAGCTAAACTTGGAAGGTGGGGGATTATGTGTCTTGATGCTAATGAACCAATTAGTATACTTCTTAATTATTTAATTAAACGATAATCATAAGTAATATTATTTGCTTTAGCATAAAATTAATAAATATATAACACTATTATGAGTGACCCAAAAAAAATTGGAACAACTCATGAAGAACAATGTAGAAGCATAGTGTGAGTTCAGAGAAGATAAGGTTCTTTCTGCATAGAAATGGATGGGGCATATTTGCCACACACCCACATAGATATACACACACGCAAACACATACATACACATATGTGTGTGTGTGTGTGTGTGTGTATGTAAAGGAGCTTTTGAAAATATATCCTTGAAGATCATCATGAGAGAAAGTGCCATCTAAAGAAAAAAAAAATGGGAAAAGGTGATACCTAAATCATTTATTTCATATTTTGTTTGCTTTGTGGGGTTTAAATGTTCTCTCTCTCTCTCTCTCTATATATATATATATATATGTATGTATGTATGTATGTATGTATGTATGTAAATGAATAGATAGATATAGGGTGTGGTGGGAAACAAATGAAATGGAGTGTTGTGTGTCCCATGTTATTATTTCAGCTTTTGAAGCCACGAGCAAACTTCTCCTGTTCACGAACTGCTTATTAATGTTTCGATCATGCAACATATTATTCCTTGGTGGAACCCACCAACCCTATAAATTACATTTATCCAAAAATCAGCTAAACAACAAAAAGTATACAAACAAATTTCATTTACTTCATTAATTATTATAATCATTTCTAACATTTTAATTCAATTCAATTCATTACGTGAATTATATAATATGTATTACATATATAAATAAAAATGTATAAACCCACTTAGTCGGACGTAAAAGTTATGAGTAGATACATCGTCAAAATTTTTAAAATTTTAATTATAAGTGTCAGTGCTAAACTGACAGTAACTTATAAAAAAGAATAAACTGTAATATGTTAAGTATTATCGTACGTTAATACTCCAAATTTAAGCCAATACAAAAAGTAATAAGATAAATTTAAAAAGTACGAGAACAAGAACTAAGAGTTGAGAGTGAGAAGTATAGAATATCTCTAAAAAATTTAACTCACGTATAATTAAATAACTTGGTTTCATAGTTAGAACTTCAGAAATGTTGACCATCATAACGGTATGGTTATGACATAAGCATAATATTGCCAATAATGGCCTAGGTGTGGGTAAATACAAAGTGATTAATTATAAACGTCTATGACTAAGTAATTAAGACTAAGGTTGACTATCTTAAACAATATTTAACTCGGTTTAATGTATCTTGTCAAGTTTGATTAACTTAGCTATCGTTTAAATTCTGACTAACTTAATTATCACGTATCCTACTAAATCTATTTTATTTTTAGGTATTTTATTATTTGTTAATTATACTTCTACTATACTTTTGCTACTTGTCTCGGTACGTGCCGTTTTCTTTAAATTGGATGTATAAACCATGTTAGGAATAAATCAAAAATTTACTGTATATTTGTTTATAATTTAATATTTTAAAATAAAAAATAGTAAAATTTGTATAAAAAATAACATCATATGAAATTTTGTGAATTTGAAATAATAAACATTAAATATTTTATTTTACACATTAAAATATTTCCAAATATGATTTTAATATTCTATAACTAACCACTAAAACTACGATTTTTCGTTTAAAATTTGAATATCTAATTAAAAGAAATAGAAATTAAGCTTTAACATATACAATTTAATAAAAATACACATCATAATAATTAAAATTACTATTTAAACAAAATACTCTTTAGTGTTTATAATTATATAAATTCAGGTTGTAAGTTATATTTTATGTATATCACTATTATAAAATTGTATTATATAATTTTTTATTAGAAGATTATATTTTTTATTAATATACATATACAATTAAATTAATAAAACATATAATTTTTTTTTAAAAAAAATTGTATTCCAAGTTTAACTAATAACATTAATCATATTTATTTAATTATAAAAGTAATTAATGTAATTTTTTTTTTGTGTGGAATATACGGGGCGATTGAGTTAAGTGGGACACGGTACACATCATGGTGACGCAAGCATTGCGTGTGGCGATGAGGTGGCTTATTTTGATTGGTGGAGTTCGAATATGTAGAGGATAATAAAAATTATTGGACGAAATCAAAAGATAGTGATGGAACATAATAAAATAAATAAATAAATAAATAAATAAAAATGAAAGTAATTTTGGAAGTAGTTTATCACTCATTGGAACCTTGATTCCACTTCATCCATAATGAGCATCGTAACGATTTTGCCACGTCATGCCTCCAAGTTTGAAAAATATGCACACAACGCAGCGGGACCCACCAGTATA